AGAAAAAATTATTGTGTAAGGCAAAGTTTTAGTATACTGAAATTTCTTTGGGGGATTTTTATAGAATTAGGTTTTGCATTGTCAGTGCTGGTGATATAGATACTTTTGCTATGTTTGGAAGTATTATGACAAATTTTTAAAAACCAAAGCTAAAATAGAGTTAGCTTTATAATGTTACTTACATTTTATGTCCTATATCCAGGAAAATAGCTAATCATCTTCTTTAAGGTTTTAGTTCTTCCATTATATATTTCAAATGTTTTCCAGCAATAAAGTATAAAAAAACATTTTGAAATATAAAACATCATTTAAAATTTCTTCGTTTGGGTAAAAAGGATTCTCAGAGATCTTTCATATTCTCACTTAGATATTTGAAAGTAAATTTTCAAGACAAGTCACGAATAGTTAACACTAAATTAGGACTGGAAACATTAATACCATGTTTATTGTATGACGTCTTTGTGGTCTAACAAACAGCAATGTTAATCTGGAATATGTCATTATTATTGTGAAACATGACATGATTATGTAGTCACATATCTGACATTCTAAGGCAGATTCTAGGGCAATATAGATATCATGGTGACTCCTCAACTATTCTTGAAAACATTTTTCAGTGGAAGCTCACAGTGAAGCTATTTCTTTTATTTTCTTTGCCAAAGTCAAAATCTCATGTTAGGATTTCAGATTTAAAGCTTTGACAACAATTTGGCATTTACCCAGAAGTTAAAATAGCAGTGTTGTAAAGTTAGACCCACAGTTAATATTTGAGATCAAATCCCCAAGGCAAAGAACCAAGGTTACCCAACTTATCTGATGTATTGTCTTTCAAAATCTCTTTTATAGTGGTTGAGAATAGTTCAGTTATTTGCTGAACCGATAATAAAATAAAGGTAACATTAGTAATGCTCGTAGTTCCTTATAAGTGTATTCTTATCTTGGTGTTTTTCAAAATTATACATAGACTCTGATTTTAAACTGCATTTTATGCTTTTGCATTTATCCCACCAGTAATGATCAGAAGCAATCTTTCTAGTCAGTAAGCAAAAATGTGAACATTTGCAGAAAGCACCATTAACGTCTAAATAGATCATCAGTGTGCACTGTATTCTTTGAGTTTCTCAACTACTTTTGCTTGTTAGCTCTGCACTAGAGTCTCTTCTCTTGCTGAGAAATTATATTGGAAGAAAAACTTTAACGGCGTCATCCATTCATGTCTTTGTATAGACAATGTATGGTTTAATGGCAAAGATTATAAGGAACTGCTAATTAATTGAAATAATTTGGTGCAGCATAATTTTAATGCACAATCTCATATAAATTTTTATTTGAATTTATCCACCAAGATAAATTCTTCATTTTCTTATTATGAAGTATTTCTTGCATATTAGGTTTATTGAATTACATGCACACAGTGTGAAAACATTTACATCTTAAGTTTGTCACTTCAGTTAATGAAAACTATTTTAAATAATATCAGCATGATCATGGGGGAAGAATAAGATTTGCATAATTTCATCTTTTAGGAAAAATAAACTTCAACATTTTTTCTAGGTATCAAGATGCTGTTAATTCCTTTCTCAAGTGAATTTAACCAAACACATTTCAAAAGTGCAGAAGAGGAAAGAAATAGTTTTAGCCATGTAACACATAACAGACAGAATTATGATCAAAATTCATAAAAATGGTATAATTTAATTTTTTAAGTAAGAGCTTTTCTTAAATTGAACACGATTCAGTTTTTTCACTGAATACAGACTACACTTTCCAAGGTGAAATATATCATGCCTTACTGAACTGTTACAGTTTTTTGTTATGCGAGGCAAGTTTGTCAACAAAACTTATTTTTATAAAGAGATGAAAGTCTGACTAAGGCATGTTCTCTAAATTTAATAACTTGAGTGTTTTATTTCTGAAATTAGCCTCATAATGCCAAGAATTATCCCTCTATCTCAGTTCTGAGGTCATTCATGAGTCTATTGGTTTTTTGTTTGTTTGCTTATTTGTTTTTGTGGTTTGTTTGTTTGTTTCTTTGTTGTAGTCAGGATCTCTCTGTGTAGCACAGGCTGTCCTCAAACTCATAGCCATCCTCCTGCCTCAGTCTCCCAGGGCTGCGATTATAGGCTTGTGCCATCACACTCAGCAAGTCCATTGTAAACTACACTTGACAGTGGACACCTTCCCATCAGACACTCAGCAGACCTACTGAAACCCACAGACAACACCCACCCCTCCAACACTCCCTCTTACTTAAGCCATAGAAGTCGCTGCTCTTTACAACTCCCAGCTTCAGGACTTATGTCTTTAACACAAGCCTAGATCCAACCGTGTGATTTTGACCCAACTGCACAGGGAAGTAGGAAAAAATAAAGAAGAGAAAGGACTTGCACAGAAAAAGCAGGCTTTACAGATTGTCACAGAAGCATTAGAGCACTTCGAGCAATGGCAGGACCATTTTAATTGAAACGTGGCTTGCAAAACAAAGCAGCTGTGGAAAGTTCAGGCATGATTTTGGTGATTTATAAATTTTAATTTTGATTTTTTTTCAAAATTTATCATTTCATATTGTCTCGTGCCTGCAGTTCACAAGAGCTTACTACTTAAAAGTTATTCTGTACTTTAAATACGAATTCAATTTTACAGTTATTCATTTTACATAGATAAAGTAAATCCTTGTTCTTTCAAGACTCTTTGTGTTTCTAAGCAGCTTTCCCAATGCAAGAATTTCGCCTTCAGCTTCACTTGTGTGAATTTCAGGTGAAAGTGCAGGTGATTTTAATTCATTCTTACAGACTCTTCAACTGGATCTCACAGTCCCAGCCTCACGCACAGCATCTGAGAATGTGACCTTCTTATCTTTCAATGGTTACATTACTAATCTTGTGTCACACGGAGCAAAATGTATTCCCTTTCCCTTCCCACTCCTTTTAAAATTTAAATTCTGGGTAATTGAAGAGGTTTACCCACTACTATACCAAAATTTCCTTCTCATTCCTCCTTTGCTCTAGTATTAAAAATTGGCAGGCAGAATTCTACATTCCATTTCATTTGATCAGTTAAAATATCTTCACACAGTAAAAAACGTACACTGAAGACAGTACCCAAGTTTATCCAGTAACAAAATAGTCTTGTGACAAAGCAGGGGAAACATGTACGGACCAGGCTGATTCTCATTATGAATCAGTGTTCCAAGCAGCTGTGGTAGACACTATTTCATGCACGATGTTGCCTTCAGAAGACAGGAGTCAGCATCCAATGACTGAAATAAAGGCGTAGTGGCAGAACAGCTGGTTTACTGTAATACTGATTCGTGTTGGATAAGAGGCCCATATCAAAAAGGGAAAATGTACCCAAAAGGCTGAAAAACTGTTTTTAAAAGTTATTTCCCAGTATCTTCCCAGATACCACCCTAGCTCCAATGCAAACAGTTATTTCTAGGTACCAAAACATTCCTTCATGGCCATTCTACCCAAGAGCTGAGAATTCTAAGCTGCTAACTTGTTTCTAAATGTTTGAACTCTAGCAGGTCATTTGCTTTTGACTTCATGAGTAAGATATTTGGAGCTTTTTTCAAAAAGGTGGTTTTGGATATCTTTGTAACATGTTTATCTCAACAGAGGTGTGTGTACTGGAAGACCTATACAAGTTAAATCTATTAGTAAAAACTTCTCAAAATGTTTTTTTCTATTAAATTGTAAAAATTTATGTCTTCTGCAGTGCATCTAAATTGCGGACAGAAATTCGTGGCAAAAGTTGAAAGCAAATAACTTTGTCTACCAGTTGGAGATTTTCATTGATAAAATTATGATTGCATATCAAAGAAAACTAGATGAATATTTCAAAATTAACCTAAGTGCTATGAAGATCACCTCAAATTTGCTGTTAAGGAGCAACAAAATCAAAACATTTGGTGCTGATAAAAATAAACATACAAATTTGTAGATAGAAATGTTAATATTCACATGTCAGCTTGATGTTAGAATGAGTTATTATTTTTTTCCCTTGGAGCACCAAACTAGATATTTTAATTAGTGATTTCTTGGAAAATATAACCCACTGCACTAATATATTGGTTTTGAATATTAAATGCATTATTTTTATAGGTTTTATTGGTGCATTTAGTTTTACAAAATATTGGATTTCCATGTGATATTTTTGTACATGTAAAAAATATATTATGATAATATACATTTTCCCTTCTAGGGGATTTTGAGAAAATTTTAAAACAATCTTCTTTAAATTTAAATATTAAAGAAATTTCCAATTATGCTTATTATTAGATCCAGAATTTAGTAATATAGGCAAACTGAGTCAGTTCACTTATTCTTTAAACACTCATGTGTACACCTCAGTGTACACCTCTGCTGTACACACTGGAAGGTCTAAGATTTTACCATAGGTATTCAAAATAAAGAAATAAATATCATCAAGCTTTCAAAGTAGAATATTAAAAGACAGATTTCATGAAAAACTCGTAAGGAATTACATAGGAAATATTAGGAAGCTCATCAATCTGTTTGCAATAGATCAAACTATTTCAGATATCATCAACTTTTGTTCTAGTTTTTAATAAACTTTATAGTGTAGTGTAGTAAAGAAACCAGAGTGGATTCATGCCTTAAAATGTATCTGGAAAACTAATATGGAAAATGTTAGAGGAAATTAGAAGTAATATACTTCAGAAAAATACTCCTTCAATAAGACTTTTTTCTTATTCCTGAAAATTGAAAGTAAGAGGATTTGTTGTTTTTTTGTACTATTCATTTAAATTTAGCTTTAGTATAAAACCAACACAGATTTTGATATGAACACTATTACACTGCATTGATACCATTATTGGCTTTAAGAAACTATTTTTTTGTGATTAACAAGTTGGAAACTGTTCAAGAACAAAAATGTTAGGATTAGAGACAAGTTTATATTTTTCTCAAAATGTATTGGTGGAAATTGATCTATAAATCAAAGCTTGACAGTAAGGTTTGTTTCATTCATATTTATAGCTCATTTTTGAAGGTATTCGCGGTCCTGGAATAGAAGGGGATATTGCCATTGATGATGTATCCATCGCAGAAGGAGAATGTGCAAAACAAGACCTAACAACTAAGAGTGAGTGTCTTTTCCTGTGATTGGTTTAATGACTCTTTTAACTGCTATTAAATTAATATGTTTTAATTCAAATAAAGAAATTTATTTTTAGATTTTTTTATTGAGAAATTTCTTCTACCTAAGATCTGAAAGTTTTAAAGGTATTTTTAATTCAAAGCATTAAGTTCCATTGTGGGTAGTCATATTTGGACTCACATAAGGAGAGTTTATTTATACATATAGCTATATACTTATTTTTAAATAAGAAAACATTTTAATTTCAAAAATTTTTAAAGCTTTCACTAAAATATTTGACAAACCGATATACTTGCGTCATACACAATTTTTTTCCCTAAAAAATTAAAACCTGTATTTCCTACATCTAATTTTTACCAACCATTTTAATAGCATTGAAAAAAACTAGTAAATACATATGCATATAAATATAGTAATAGAATAGCCCTACTTTTTTTCTATCTACATTGTATCTTTAATTAAATTCATTAATTAGGTTTTCAGTCTTCATACTGGCTTGAAGATTAGAATTTAATGATACCTTTAAATTTTATTTTTTCAACACAGCTCTACTTTTTAATACATGCAGTCCATAGAAAAAGATGAACAACACAAAAACATTAAAATTATGTGTAGAGCAGCTTCTCAAATCTTGCTCTCCATATTACATATTTGAACCCTATATTTAAAGTTTTTCCCATTAAAAAGTTCTCCAGAAGTATTTTCTCAGGCCCATCTGGCATCTTTAATTATGTGATCACGGGGAATAGGAAGCAATCAAGATGAGATTGCTTATCATACAAATAACTCATCAATAATTTAGCATATACAAAAGCATGAAACTTCGCCTAGTATAGGTCCAGAGCAAATCAAAGTCTTTGTTAATGGTATATTTGGTGAGAAATTATGTCTGTCTAGATGTTAAAAGTCAGATTCACACAACTATCCAGTGATTGCTCGTATGAACCAATTTGACACCATTCTTTGTCATTGTGAGAAGACAAAAACTAAGATTGTGTATAACAATGAGCCATTTTGTTCATAGTTTCTCAGTGTTATGCCTAGCATTTGAAGTACACATTTAGTAAAACCTCCCTGGATCTTACTGATTGTATGTTAAAAAAATGTCAGCTACACACAGGTCTGTTTGAGGTATCAAAACACAAGCACTCACCTCTGAGAAAAATGGGATTTCTTTTGAATATCACAACATGAATCGCTGGCAATAAAACTTGTCACTGGCAGATTGTTATGCTTTCTACAGAAATTTAACATTTTCTCGTTTTAATCACTGAAGATCATAAATTAAATTCTACAAGTTAAATTAAATTTTCTAAATGAACATATCACTCCCATGCAGAGAAAACAAAAATGATAGGAAATGACAGCAAAAGCCATCAGAAGTCCACTGTTACACTATCAAACATTTCATAATCAGTTTCTTTCCTTAAACTGGTAAATCTAGAGAAATTTATGTATTGGCGATCTTTCTATTTTACCTCTATAAATCAGAGAAACAAAAATTGGCTATATGGTTGAGAAGCTATTCTTTTATATTAGTCTCCTTTAAATTATCATGTAATTAAGTTCGTTTTGATGGAGCTCAATTGCTTGATAAATGTTAAATTGTTGTTAAATTCTGAGTAGACAAGCTTGAAAGCCAAACTCAGGCTTCCAGGCCTCTCTGGTTAGTGCAGAGGAGCAGGACCAAGGCGCTGAGTGCTTGGACTGCATCACTATTTTCAAAGCACAGTGTACTCCTAGCTGAGAATCATTTTGTACCATTAGGCAACTTAAAGATTATCAAGTAAGCTTTTGTTAGTCCCCCTGGTAAGTTATATGTTCTTTGATTCATTTCCTAGAGTAGAAACTTTAACTGAAGTATTAACTGCAAGAGAAAACTCAAGACATGTTGGTGGAAAAAGGTTTTTTAGTTATATGGGACTTAACAATGCAAAACTAAATAACTTAGCATAAAGTAATGAATGGATTATCTAAACACTCATGTCCACTGTGACAGTGAAATTCTCTAGCCTTAACCTTAATCATCCCTTTCTAGTTTACATCAAGAGCAGTTTTGTTTTTTTTTTTTTTTTTTTTTTTTTTTCCCTTCTAGTGAAGCTTAAATATTTCTGGAGGCTTGAAAGTTCAAATTCCTCTTTGGATTTCTGGGTGTGCCTCCTGTCTGTGCTCTCACAGAGCAAGCGAAGTTTTGAGTTGAACTCAACCACAAACCCTAGTGAACATGTTCGGAACAAGTGTTTATAATATATTATTTCAGTTTAAAGTAGACAATTCTTTTTCAAATGGCAATTATTTTGCTTTCCTGGGCCTTATAAATAAACCTGATTAAAAATGCCCTAAAAATGTTTCCCTTTTTTAAAAATTTGTTTTTTGATTTAATCTCCAAAGCGACAGTAAAAGCTACATGGCATTCTTATTCTCCTTTGTATTTTTGGTTTTATTTTCTTTCTGTCTAGATTCCGTTGATGGTGCTGTTGGGATTTTAGTTCATATATGGCTTTTTCCAGTTATCGTCCTCATCTCTATCTTAAGTCCTCGAAGGTGACCTTATCCTGGCAGAGGCTATAAAAGATTCACCTGGCACTGGCATGATGAAAGAGTCTTTGTAAATGGACATGAAAAAAAACAAAAAAACAAAAAACAAACTACCAAAGATTCCTCCACTGACTACTGACTGAAACGTAAAATAATAAAAAACAAAATTTTTTAAGCACTGGGGATAAAAAGACATGATGGAAGTATAACTTATTCCAAACTACATATAAAAGATAACCTTGATATGAGTAGAGAAGAGACCTTCAGGTGCTTTAGTGGCTAAAATGATTACAGCGTCATCTGGTTGAACTCTGGGAAAAAAAAAAAAAAAAGAGCTATAGAAATCCTTGTCAAAGCACAAAGTCATGGCTGGTTTTGTTTCAAATGAATAGTTTGCTTGTTACCATGGAAACCTAATGGCCTGCCAACAAAAACCTCACTGTAAACAGGGTACATGAAGAGCTGGCATTTATTTTCCTTTCAAGAAGGTTTTACGTAGAGAATTAAATAAATGTAGGCCCTTTTACCTTTGGCTGTTAGCCTTCCTTGAAAATACCGGAACTCAGAATTATTTAAAGCATTTCTGTTCCTCCCCACCTGATCCCCACCGCATACTTATTATTAGTTTCTCCTTCCATGGCTAAGCTAGGTAACTGTATGCTGTCTCTCTCTGCATGCACCCACTCTCCAGGGCGGTAAACCTGGGCTTACATATTACACAGGCTTATCGGAGTTGCTTGCGGCCACTTGAACACCCAAACTATGTCATCTGTTCCAATGAAGAAACCAAACCACCATCTTTTATAAATTGCCATGGAAACCAAGTGCCTTCAATGAAACAAGCCTGAAATAATTTTCAACTCAGAAGCTTGCACTGCTTAGAGTGGTTTGTGTAAAACTATTTTGTAAACAAACTACAGAGCCTAAATGTGCAAATCACAGGCAAGACAACCAAGCCGCTTCTGAAGAAGAAAGGTCCGGAGCTGCTGCGTAAGCCCATGCAGACAAGATGTTTGTTCTTTAACCTCCTAGACAGCCATGGCCTTCCGGCTTATTGTCCATTAAAGAATAACTTCCACTGAGACCAGACATGGGAGCGAGACTTTTTCTTCCAGGTTACTAAATGGGTCAACCAGAGCAAAAAGTTGTTAAGATAATACTTAGCGCAGAAGGTGGTAAAACACAAAAGTAATTTTTTTACTGTAATCTCCATCTGAAATGAAATTGGCCCTAGCTTTAGAGGGAACTAGAAAATGTTTGTGATTGCAGTGCGTACAAACTCTACAGCGGAACTGGGCCTGAATAATCTGGCTTTATTCTAAACACTGAGGGATATATGCCTCTGCCCTATAGTCAGACTCTGTGCAAATTGTGAAATATTATTTTATTATTTTATCAAGATAAACAAAACACTTTTACAAAAAAACAAAAACCTGTAAAAATGATTTTGAGCTACCTGAGGACAAATCATATCTTTAACCAGCCAGTTTTCCAATGCATTGTAAATTTCACTTAAACCTATTGGTTATGAAAATTTGGAGATCTTTTTCCTTAAATTATCTCAGCTTTTAACTTCATTTAAAAAAGACTTGTCTAAAGAAGACTATTACTATTATGTGTTATTTAAACATCCCAGGATTAGAAAAACGGATTATGCAAGCAATTGGGATATAAGTATTAAATTATAACATTTGCAAATATTAATATAAAAAGCACAACAAAATGTAGTGAAAATGAAAAAGCTTGATTTTTAAAAGAAATCTGTAGAAATGTTTGTGCAAATTCAGTAATTCAACTTAAAATATAATTTTACAGCTATGTTCAATAAAGCCTCTTTCCAGGTAAGGTATGACAAGCGGTACGTGTGTTTGTTGGGCAATCTTCACTTCCCACTAAAGTGAGATTAGTTATGCAATTTATTGGTTGTGTTATCATAATTAATCATCAGTGCTCCATACACACACTCTTTAAGTATGCAGTAAGAGATTTGTAGTAACAACGCCCTGATGCAGTCTCCCATATTTGTAACACATGTTAAAAAGTATTAAACCTTTGTAGGTAAAATATGAATTTGGCATATTTCATATTTTCATAGTCAGTTTAGGGGAAACACATTAGAATATTTAGGTAGTGATATAATTGAGCTCTAAATCAACCCTTAAATAGAATAAACAAGTAAGTTTCTTAATTTACTTGAATGAATTAGGCATATTGAAAGTTTTTTTCAAAATTCTAGCCCTTCATATATTTTTATCAAACCAAAGAGATTCAAATAAAGGTTATCTGGGGACACTTAGCTTAATATTTGTTAAATTACATTCACCATGACTTCTTTTTTATAGCAGCTAACCGCTTCTCTTCACTCTCACCACTTAGCAAATCATTGTTTTACTGCATTATTACTGTCAATAATACAAATAAAACTTTTAAATCGAAAAAGAAGCATAGCTCATTGCCTTCTTTTAAGTATCTTTAAGTTGATTTGAGAGAGGCTTTTGCAAAAAAAGAAGTTAAAAACAAACAAAAATTTAAATTCAGAATATTTGAATATATATATATATATATATATATATATATATATATATATATATCTCCATCCATATCCTTTAGAGGATTACAACCAAATTACCTTTACTTTTAACTAATTCTGAACAAAGAAAGTGCTACAAATGAAAGTTTCAATTATACCATGAAGCACTTATAAAATACTAAAATCTTTTTTAAACTCTCACATAGCAAGAATACACACACTTCTGAAATTCATGAGAACTGGCTGGTACTTCAAAATTAATTTTAATTAGATTTTTAAGAAATTGCAGATGCTTGAGAAGAACAAAGGAGTACTCAGAAATGCAAAGAGATCAGATTTATTGAAATCATAATAAATTAAAATGTATATCTAAAGTGAATTCTGGTTTATTATGTAAACTAATAGACAAAGAGTCAGTGTTGGGTCACTTCCGATCAAATATTCAGTTGTTCCATTGAAAGTAAATGATACAAATGCAGAAATTTTTAAATGATTGGGATAAATGAAATGTAAATTATTCTAAGTAGCCTCTTTAATATTAGTAATAATAATGAACTTCTGTTTAGCAACTGCCTTCCTTTTATTAATATTTTTGTATTTATTATGAGTTGGATTCGACAACATATTATCCCTTTCCCATTTTGATAATGTATTTAAAGTATAATTGGTGCCAATGTTTTCATTGTTGTTATTTTATAGAGAGGTGTCAGGCAATGAAGTTTCAAATTTCTGGGAAGAAAGACATACTGTGTAATTTCCTACTGCCAGTAACTGATCTCAATTAATTAGGAACATTATTCTGTTTCATCAATTCAGAAATGTTTGCTTTTCTACACTTTATCACGTCTGCAATTGGGCTTGTTTTAATTGCAATTGGCAACATTTCTATGTAATGTATAAAATGAGTCGTAAAACTAATGGCATTTTAAATATGATAAAATTTACTGAATTTTCCAGAAGTGCCAAACAATACCTAAAATTACTACTTTTCATTAATCCTAAACAGACATAAAGTTTATCATACCGTATTTTTAAGATTCATATTAGCTGCTCATCATCAAGGCAGTATTTATTCTGTTTTTTTTTTTTTTTTCTAAAAATTCAAATTGTCTCTTAGGTGTTCATGCATACTACCCTCATTTACTTTTCTTTCTTTTATCTTGGTACCTATGGTTTTAGTTCCATCACAAAATTTATTACACGATGTATCCCTGGTTTAAAATGTTCTGTGGTCACTGTACTTAACAGGTCAGAAGTTTGGCTTACCATTAAATTTTCTCTAAGAGAATTGAAATATGCATGGTATGTCCCAAGGCATACAGTTGACACTGCAACTGATAATATTTTATTTCACACATATCACAGAATTGACTTTGGCATGGCAATGATTATAATTCATAATCCTTACAGTTAGAACCCACATGATCAGTTATATCATGTAATAACAAAAACAATAATATTCTTTACTTTTATATTTTAAAATATGATGAAATACAAATTACAAGTGTACTAACTTTTCACCAAACATGCATTTTTATTTTAAAGACTTTATAATAAAATTAATCTGTCAATAAAATGTGTAGTTTTAAGAAAAATTAATTCATGTAGTTCTGCACTTAAGGCTATGAAACTGGCTGTGGTATTCTCCATGACCTATTTTGTCTGTTTTGATCAGTGATTTTAAAGATGGTGAAAGACTAATCCAATTTTGATAGACTGATTACAAAGGATTCTTTTGAATGCACATTCTGTATCAAAAACTTTTTTAATGTGCCTTTCAAAGATGAGGGCCACTCCACAGATACTTAAACTGGAAAAATGTTCCAATGCCTCCCCAAATACAATTGCTTCCTGGTTGGTGACTGCTTCTTACTAATCAATTCATCTGTGTCTCAACAAAGCAGAAGGTTTACTCTTCTTGCAACTGGGTAGTTGATGTCAATGAGGAGTTATTGCATTTTCTGTGAAAACAATAAAATCATAGGGTTCAATCCCAAGCTATTCCTTTTCCTACAATGTTCCCTTTGTGGCTAAACAGTTTAATTAGTTTTCTTAATGCTTATTTTTAAAAGCAACGTCTGGCATTTTCTACTTTGACTTAAGAGAAAACTACAACAAAATGATCAGAATTTTTCAAGTCTAAAATAAAAAGTCTTCGCTGAATATCCATAATATGTATAAGCAAACATGTATGTTGTTATTATGTAAAAGAGAAAGACTTCAAAGCTTGAAATCTTAATGTTAATATGTCAATTCAGGATTAACCCATCATATGTCCATGTCTACTTAGAAACAAAGATGAGAGAGAGAGAAACAATCCATAAACTTTTATATGGATTACTTTATTGACATATTTTAATTTAAAGCTTAGTAAATTCTGAGTAGTGATTTCACTACCCTGAGTCCATGCTGACTATATTGAAATTAAAGAGATGGAATTCAAATTTGGAGTAGGGCAGCGGTTAAACTCTGGGTAGAATTTGAAATAGTTTCTTAAGGGGATATTTACAAATGATTGAATTTAATTTCAACTGTACTAATTTTCCATGAGTCGAGCTGAAATGTACTCTTATTTTTCAATAAAATGTTGGAAAATTCTATGAAATAGGGATTAGTTTGTTAGTTTCAGTTTGTTTCCATATGGATTTAATTGTTGTCCTGTATTTCCAGGATATCACTTTTATTTCTTAATCCTCACCAGTATATTTAGATGTATAAGTTTAATCAAACATAAATTGTGTTGCATTTATATGGAATATTAGTTACATTTGAGATCTCAAAGTTTAGATTTAACTTAATTTCCCTTTTGATAATTTCCTTCTGCTAAATAGTTTGAGATAGCTGTATGTTATTTTCCCTTGGACTTTTTTTTTCAATAAATGAAATTATGTTAAACATTCTATTAGTGTTTTGGGGAAATTTCTACTGTCAATAAGCAAAAAAGTGAGAAGTAAAGATAGTTAGAATGACAATTAGATTTTCGATTTAAAATGAAAATGCCATCATTCCTCAGAGTTTTAAGAAGGTTTAAGAAACTCAACACCAGAGCGAGCACAATTAACCCACTAAGAAATACAATGACTTTTATATTCTTTGTGAGCTTATTTATAAAATTGTGTTGAACAAGTAGACACTAAAATCTTATGGAATATAACAAATATGATCTAAGGAATATGAGTCAATTTAGTAATTGTGTGCTTCTGCATGATATGGACAATAATTGTAGTTTGATGGTGCTAATCACATATCTCAAACACATTAAACTCAATCTGAGTCTTCTGAAGGAATCGAATAATACTCTAGGCAAAGATTTGTGTGAATCAAAGTTAGACAAGATATTAAAAATTAACTTGCTTATCATCGTTTCCCTACTGCCTATTTAGCTTATTTTTTCTTAATCTTTACAATTGGATTTAAATAAATCCATGAACCTTTGGAAATGCAGATACAGTTAGTATCAACAGACCCAATTTTCTGTTTGAAAACCAACTCCCAGGCAGCTGCTTAAGTGTTAAATCATTGCTGATTCTTCATAAACCATTTTAGTGTAGCAGTCAAATTAAGGCTCTTATATTTGCTTTTCAAATGAAATTATAGAGCCTCCTCCAAGAACTGGATGTGTCTTTCGTATTCCCATAATCCCTATAGTATGGTGGTAAGTTATAACTCTGGGTTATATGGAGATTATAGAATGAATTATTGCTGAATTATTCCAGGATTCAGAGGTATATTTAGAACAGTCAATATGAAAAGCTTTTATCTTTCTCCTGTGAAACCTCCTGACAGAAGATCCGTTTACTGAGAAAAATGAGAAGATATCCAACTGAAGAAGGATTTAATCATTACAACCGTGTTTTCTGGCTCTTCTTAATTTAACAGAAATTGATCATATTTCTTAATAAAGGAGCAAATGTTAATATCTTTGCAAGCAAAATTATTGCACTTTATATATATTTTGTGTTACAGGACAGAATTATAGATGAGAGTAATAATTTTTGGAATCTTTATTCAATTGCAATGTACTGTGTTAGGGTATCAAGCTTAATTTTATCTTAGTGGAAACATATGAACTTCACTGAATTCTAATTGTTAGATTCTCTCTAGACTTTGTCTCAGTATATGTTTCTTGAGAACCAATCATCCCCTAACCTTAAAATCTAGAATACTTAGACATGCAAATATTTTGAGTTTTATGACAATTTGAATTATGAAACAAAATTATAACACTGACAAGATATTTACTTCTGAGTAATTTACTTCTGAGTATGTATTAGGTATAAATGGATCAAACAAAATTAAAACTGAAAATTATTTTCAAAATTGGAAACAGTGATAAACAGATGACTATTAATTTTGCTTTAATTCACTTCTGCTTTGAATTATGCTTTAATTTTCAAAATTAACACAATTCAACAGGCCAATTAAATAAAAGAATGGTACAGCATTAATATGTGGCAACCACACAATAATTCATTGTTAAGTAAATGAAAAGACAGTACTCATTTTTGTCTGTTAACAAACTTTAATGACATAAACATGCCTCTCTCTTTTTCATTAAGTTAGGTTTTGATAATAGAAGACTGAGGTTGAATTGCATGTGCATTCAAAGGCCATTGCAATGCCATGATACCTGAAAACAGTCAGTTTCTATTCTGAATCATCCATCTCCACTAGGGCCTGCAGTTACTCACCTGCTCTGTCCGTCAAATTAAGCATGGCCTTCTCCATTTAAGATTTCTTTCAAGGTACAAACACTCTTTTAAATAAACAGTGCAGTTACTTATTTCATATAGTAACTTTTCTCAGCTCAGAGTGTCCCAATGACAAAAAGTAGGTGAAAAGTACTGAGATCTAATGTTAGGGACCAAGGAGTAAGAAATGTGGTAAGAGGAGAGAGAGGGGATTTCAAAGACTACAATCATTCTTTAGTTTTTCCCAAAGTTAGGCCCATATTACACCCCAGGTACAGAATGTGGAGATAGCATGAGAGAAATGCCAAGCTGCCAGATTATATGCAAACGCCCCAGGGAGCAGTGGAAGCTGTAGAACAGAAGCATAACGCAGTCACGGAGAGGAGGGCACTGTGGGTTGGTATGGACAATGCAATGAAACCAATCTAATGAGCCTTTCCATTAGTGGGAGGAGGAAGAAAGGGAAAGTTCATAAGCAAATCATTTGATAGAAACCCATATTCCAGAAAATGAAGTACTTAAATCACATGAATTTGAAAAACTTTGCAATAAGCCTATTTGCAAGTATTTTAATAAAGACTTCTCCTGATTTCACTTATTTGTTTTTCAGTGTCTTCCCTGTCTACCTTCTCCCTCCTGTGTGATGTGAATTCACAAGATGTAGCTTAGCCTAGAATAAATTTACTTTATAATAAAATTTTACTTTACTATTATAGTATCATAGTAAAATTTTACTTTAAACAAGTTCTTCCCCCACCATCTCTGTTCACACTTCCTCTACCACTTTCTCATTATAGAACTAACTCGTTTAATGAGTTCTACATTATATAAATGTAATCAACTCATTTAATGCTTTTACAACTCAGTTTTCTCTCCGTAAGAGTTTTCTCTCCAACAGTTGTAATATGGTGTTTCATAGGATTGTCAGCAAACTCAAATAATATCAACTGTGCAAGCACTTAGATAATTTATAGAATATATAAGCATTAATGAGCACTAATTTTTATTGATATGGTTGTTAGCGCTAGAGAAAGAGAATAAAGATGAAAATTATGATGTCTGTTGCATCAAAAATGGGCTGTTTGGAAATAAGCACTTTTGAACTACTGCCACTTTCTTTAATAATCTTATTTCCAGCCCAAGTTTGCACACATATTTATACACCATGCCATTTATTATTTTCAGCGTGTTTTCAAATACCTCATTCTATCAGTTCACACCTCAATGGTAGGTGACTGCCTGTGACTGGAAGTACACTGAGGAATCACAGGTCTGTCTCACCAGGGTCTGTTTTGGCTGTACGGGGCACCCTTTCATGTGCACATTTTATGGTTCACTTTAGCAAATCTAAAATACCTGTTTCAGCTGTTTTTGAAATTAGTAAAGCACTCTCTTCTTGCTGTGTTTACAAGATACCACTGAGTGAGAAAAGGCTGCCCTTTTTCAGAGGAGATAAATTATGAAAGAAAATACTGATGTTGATTAATGAAATATCACATGATTTATAATTATATCAGTGGTTTCATTTGAACCTTGCAGAAAACCTTTTGTGTTTCGGGATACAGTGAGGTTGAATTTTACTGTTAACGCAAATCTCCTAGTACTGGTGATGATTCCACTGTATTGGCCCCAGATGTTCTGATTCCGTAGAGTTGGGGAAAGGAAGAGGAACTGATTGTGAAATAAGTGACTTAAACAGTTCTGACATACCTAACTCCAAACACCCACAATTTAAAACACATCAACATAACAGAAATATCACAATTCATAGCATGAATTCACTCCTAGTAGCTGTGTGACCTTAATAGTGGGTTTAAAATCTCTGTGCCTTTTTTTTTTTTGCCAGCTATAGTGACCATACAGAGGTTTGGAGATGCCTGAGTGTTTCCATATATAATTTTACCCAGTTTCCTTATCCATAAAGGTGAATGATGTGTAATCTAATCAGCTAATATATGTAAAATATTTCACTATTGGCACCCAGCAAGCATTATGTTCGTTTGCTTGTAAAAATGTAATGATAGTACCCACATCCTAATGCTATTATGACTAAATGAAGCAATATTTATCATGTTTAGAAAGAATATATATTTTTGCTGACTTAATAAAATAACATATTTTAAGTACCTTCTTTTAATATTCTCTTCATGAGTAACAATTTTTCCTTTTCTGTGTTTTATCTTGTACACGAAAGAATCTTCCATGGAAGAATGTTTTAATGACTCAAATATCAAAAATTCTTATTTACCTAAAGTGAATTATACTAACCCCTGAATGAAATAATCTCTTTGACATTTTATTATTTTGTAAATGATTTTAGATAGTCATACTTATTTCAGAATATGAAATATTAGGACAATTAGATAACTGTTGGTGAATACAGATACAGTTGGCATTTGAAAACAGTGGTATTTACATATATGTTTATAATCTAGACAAAATATTGTTCATTTAAAAATACTAATCTTTGTTCAGAGGTAATTAGATTCACATATAGTTTTATAAATCATAATACAGAAACCTTATGTACACTTTACCTACTTCCCCTACAAAGACACATTACAAAAACCCCAGTACGATATTACAACCAAACTCCTGATATTGCAACAGTTCACTGAGAAAGTTCCATTTTTATGCTTGCTTGGCTGGATGGATAGATGTAGATCTTTTATGTATCGTATCACATCTGTAGATTCATATACCCACCACTGCAATAAAAAAAAATAATAGTTTTTTTTTCTTTCTTTTTCATGTGGCCTTTTTCTAACACATTGTCTTTTCTACACCCCAATTAATCTCCTAGGCACAATTAATCTGTTTTCCATTCTACGATTTTGTGATTTTTAGAATGTATGTTAATGACATTGTACCATGCCTGCATTTTGAGATTTCCTGTTTTTCACTTAGCATCACTTGCTGGAGAGTCGTCCAAGCTGCAGTATGGATCAATAGTTCATACTGTTTTATTGCGAAGCAGTATTGCCTGTTATGCAGGCACTAGTTTGTGTAACCCTTCACCCACTGAAGTACATCTGGACTGCTTCCAGTCCAAATGTATTTCAAATAAAGCTGTGTTAAATACTTCTGTACACATTGTGTGAACATAGGTTTCCATATCTCTGAGATAAATGTCCAAAAGTGCAAGTGCTGTGTACTACGGTACTTTTATGTTCAGTTTCATAAGAAACTGTTAAATTGTTTTTCAGACTCTCACTTTACATCCATATATGCAGTGGATGAGTGATCCAATTTCTGTACATTGTCAGTAACATTCATGGTCATTTTTAAAAATTGAAGTAGTCATTTAGGTTTTAATCTGCATGTCGTTAAAGGCTAATGAAGAACACCTCTTCATTTGCCATCTGAATATCTTCGGTGAATTTTCTAGCCACAATTTTGAATGCACTTGGAAAAAAAAAACTAATGTCTTGGGCTTCAAGAAACTATTTTTTTTTAATATCCTACATTGACATCATTTACCAATTATGTGGCTTTCCCAATCTCTACCATGTATGTCATTTTATTCACATGACATTCTACACAAAAAATATTTTCAATCAAGATAAGGTCCGATTTCATTATTATTTCCCTTTTATGAAGTGTTCTTTTAGTGTAAAGTCTAAAATGCTTTACTGAGACTTAGAAACTAAATATTCTTTTTAAAAAGTCAATAATGACCGTATCTTAAAGTAAAAAAACTGGACAAATTTAAATCCTACTAAAGCATTAGGTACATTTATTTTGATTCAAAATACTGACATTTTCTCAAGGTTATGATCAGCAATATAATAACACAAGTGTTTCTAAGAACTTGATAATTTAAAATTTCTATTTTATATTCATAGTTTATTAAATGATGTTATTCAACTATAGTATAAAAACATTCATGTAAGAAGATAAATATTATCTGTTTATTCCAAAACATGACCAAAGATTACAGTCTTTAATTTATTCTGTTAACTTTTAATTGTACATATAGGATATGATCCAAATAATTAGGCAGTCATTCAAATCATTAAGTGTAAAGAAATTGAGGTGGTTTAAATGATAATAAAAATACTGGAACAGTTTAGATTCCCAGCAAAAGAAAACTACTTAGCAAGCCCAGCCCGACTTTTGGACTGCAGTGTAATTGCGTGACTGATTTCTTCAAGAGCCAAAGCCTACTGTAACTCACAAGTGTCAGAAACTTTACTACCACAAAATGTGATTACCATCGGCCCTGCACCAGCAACACTCAGCT